ATACCAGGTCCTCTTTACCATCCAGATGATGGCCAGACTTCTTGTGTCCATGTTCCTCAATTCAAAGGGGCTCCTCCAGACTCTTGGCACTGCATACCAGCTGGAGATCTAACATAAAACCTGACTGGAGAGTGTCCTTCCCAGGAGATGGCATTTCCAGGTGGGCAGCTCTCTGAAGATCATGTATTAAGACCTTCATTTCCAATATTCAAACTTTATTTCTTTTGCTTTTTTGCTATTAGCTTTTTCTCTCTGTTAAATGTGTGAGAAGACAGTGTTTATTAATCCTGGCAACTGTTGCTGACTCTACTAGGCCCTAGCTGTACAACAGAGGTCCCTCGACTTTCCTGCTATGGCAGTTTTCGATTGGAGAGTTGCTTTAGATTGCTTATTGGCTGAACAAGGAGTAGTTTGTGCCAAAACAAGTTATGTGTGCTATACTTGGGTCAGTGCTTCTGGTATTGTAGCAAATACAAAAATTAACAAATAAGCCACTTGGCTAAACAGGTTGATGTGTTGTCAGGCACATTCTTTGATTTATTTGATACCAACTGGTCTGGTTCATGGGGGGCCCTGGCTAAGGAGTATCCTTAAATCTCTTGACATCATCCTTCCAATAGTTATCTGCTGGGAATTGCTCTGTCTGGTTTCAGGAGTTGTAACTACCCCCCATGGCTAAGGATGAGTGAGCGACCTCCGGAATGCGAGCCTCAAAGAGACAAAGCTTGTCTCTGGTAGCAAATGCTGCCTTAGCTTACTCCCCTGACCCCAAAGTATGGTCAGCTAGTCAATGACAGGTAAGACTCCTCACAGAGAGGGGCAACTTAAGCCAGACACAATCACTTGGGAGGCCATCATGAAAGGACTCAGGGGGCTGCAACAAAGAGGAAGAAATGGACCCTTGCCCCCAGGCTATTCTAATGTAGCCTGAGTTCCTTGCCTTGCTAGAGTGGGATCAGGGGTGATCGGGCATATGAAAGAATTCCTAAAAGTCCTGTGAAACCTGCTTTGCTAAGAGTGTTTTCATTCATAAGTTACAGGTTTGAGCAGGAAATGAGTATGTCTCCCAAAGTTTCTGCAACCCCTTACCTGACAGACACTAAGACTAAGCCCTCAGATTTCTTTAAAATGTTATCTACTGTTTGATCCTTGCCGCCCTGTATTCCTGTGTATTGCAACCCAATAAAAACCCCTGGAGGAAGGGGCTCCTGTCCTTTTTCCTCTGAGAAACTGGCCACCTCTCCTCCTCAAGCAGATCATGTCTTGGTAGTGTTTTCTTTCATCCATGGCGGATGGGGGGCTTGAGGGCAAAGTCGTCCCCACAGTTATCACTGTAGTCTCCCTGGTATGCTGTGATCTCCCAGAGGTCTTAGATGCAGTTTTTATTTTGCAGCCATCAGCAGTACATCAGAGGGTCTCACTATACTTGGAGAAACAGAAACAAGTTAAATAATGAGTTGAACAGCAAAAACAATTTTTCCATGGACCCAACATCACACTTTGTGAGTTTCCCAATGAGAAAAACACACCTTAACTCTGATGGTGATGAAGAATGGCACTAATACTAAAATTTGGGTTCATCTCTCACTAATGAGAAGACAATAAAAAGGTAGATTATTAAATTTATTAAACCAGGAGGCCATTAAATTGATGTGGCTCTTTTAGGCCATGGTGATCTATCGAAATCTAAATGTTTTTACTGTGGCAAACCCAAGTCTGGGCCTATAGGTGCCCCATGGTAACAAAAAATCAAAATACTAAGGACAACCAACCACAAGCAGCCAACTAGGCTTTAAACTGTAGCCAATTAGTCACTTCCTTACTTTGCTCCCTGGTTTTCTCTGTGGAAGTCTCTCCCTACACTCCTGCTAACAGGGCACGCCGAACCATTTCTGGTTTGGTGCTGCCTAATTTGAATTAATTTTTCCCTCAATTGAACTCTTAGAATTGAAAAAAATCTCCTTAAGAGAAATTATTAGGCTGAAAGGAATGGATTTTTCACTTATTTTCCCCCTGATTATCCAAGTTAGATAAGCTTATCATAGATAATTAAAATTTAATGAAACTGGGGAAGAAAAAAATCATTCAGAACCTTTCACCCATTGGCAATCAATGTTAATGTTTTGCCATTATTTTTTCTAATTTACGCAGTTACTTTCTTAGTAAGATTCAAGGATATGAACATTTTTAAGGCTTTTCATAGCACTGCCAAAATCACTTTCAATTTATCAATTTTATTCTCCTTTTGGAAATGTTGGAGGTATAACTATTCTGAAAACACTAACATCTAAAAACTCTCAAGTAAGCATGATTCTTTCAAAACTTCTCATGATTTTGATCTGGTTTTACTCAAAATCTGTTTTGAATATAGAACAAGCCCTAAAAAAGTACAGAACAAATGTTACTTAGAACATTCATTTGCAGCTTTGATTTCTTCACCTAATTAAACACTTCTTTTTTCAGGATCCCATTTAACTCAATTGTGTTGATATTTCAAACTTAATTTTAATTTAACCATTTTCAAGGCTGCAGAGGAGTGACTGTGTACACACATCAATGCATGGGCTCTGGTTGAAGTCTCCTCTTCTGGAAGGCTACTGTCGTTAATGGTGTTCGTCTCTTAAATGATTGAAAATGTCTATTTGACAAATAGCTGTCGAAGTCAGCTCACTGATCCTTCTAGGTTAAAATACGCTGTTGGTCATTTATTCATACCTGTTTCCTGGTCTTAATAGAAGAAAATATTCCCCTCTTTAGTGCTTCCCAATGTTTTTCATGGTGTGGTATACAGTGAAAATAATGATACTTGTCCTGTACACTCGAACAAACAAACAACGCTGATGTGGTCAGAAGTGTCTGCTGGGAAGCTGTCTGTTGTAAGCACTGAGGGATGCATGTTCTGCCCCCGTAAACCATTCACAGTACCTTGGGGCCAGCCCTGCATCCTAGGGAACCTAGGAGAATGTGTTTGAAAAAGATGCTGTCTCTGTGTGTGTGGTTAACCTACTGTATTTCTTATTGATTACATGGAGGAGGGGGGGCGCTTATCATTCCGAAACCCATCCTTAGTAGAAATGTACATATTTTTCTTAACAGCTTTCCGATTCTACTTTTTCACTGTTGTCTGCAAAATAGGCTTACCTCCTTTTCCAAAAGTTTTATTTATTTGATTTCTCTCACCTGGGAGTCATTCTTTCAACGATTCTTACCTGAGTTCTACTATGTACCAGGCACTTTGATAAACACTAAGAACAGAGAACTGGTCAAGGCAGCTTCTGACTCTAAGGTGCTCACAGTTTAGTGGTGGGGACCACCAGAGAGGTAAAGAAAACAGCAAACATTTCAGGGTGGGAGGTACAAAGGTCCATGGCTTTCTCCCTGGGGCAGGTAGGAAGGCTTCCCAGAAACAGTGACGTTTGAGCTGTGACTTTGAGGAGGAGGGGAGTTGGACGTTTCAATCAGGAAACAGAGTACTGAATAAGAGACAGAAACTGGTGGTTTTGAGAAACAGGTGAGCTTGTCGGTGTGCCTGGCACTCCAGTTATGTGTGGCACCTGCAAGAGCAAAGAGGATGAGGTTGGAAAGGGAGGTGGGCTTGATTTTGAGGAGCCTTGCCTGCTGAAAGGCAGGGTTAGGACTTTCTATGCAGGAGACTGACATTCCCAGACTTGTATTTGGGAACATTGCCCTGGTACCAAGGTGGAGAACAGATGTGTGGATGGATAGGACAGTCATTAGAAGACTGCTGCAACTGGAAACAGAAGTAAGTGGTGAGGGCTTGACCTCAGGCCAGGGTGCTGGGGTGGATGAGAGAAGGCAGTGGTGGTAGGGCTCCTAGGAAGCACCACAGGAGTAGGAGAGAAGTCAGTTGGGGCAATGAAGTAAATGATGATGTTATTAACAAAGACTGGGTGAAAAGCTTAAGCCCCCTACCCAGCTCTTCACACCCAACTCATCTTTCAAGACCCAAGCCAAGGGCCCTCACCTTTACAAGCCTTCTTCTTCTATCCTTGTCCCATTATGGATCACTTTCTTCCCAGAATAGCTATTCTGGGAGTTGGCAGTGGACACTTTGCTCCCTCAGCTACTTCGTGTGTGTTAGGGCTGTTTCCTAAACCAGACTGTAGGACTATCATTCTTAAGCCCCATGCGTCATGCTTCTCTGATATTTATCCCAGTGACTGTCTCACAGTGTGGGCATTTACTAGCTGCTGTCTATAATAGGCAGTGGGATGTAGTGCTGTGCTGGCAAATGAATCTTTTTTGTGTGTGTCTTTTAAAAAGAAAGATCTTTATTGAAGTATAATTGAAGTATAAACTCCCTATATGATATTGATATAAAATGGAATTGCTGTGGTTTACGCAGGGGCTGAAGGCCCAGCACAGTCCAGGACCTGCAGCTCCCTCTTTTGTAGGATTCCATGGGACACAGTTTGAAAACCAGTGGGTTGGTCATGGGTTTTGGAGTCAGAATGAGTTTGAATCCTTACTCTGTTAAATCCTTAGCTACAATACAGTAGATAAATGGGGAAACTGCTCTGAGCCTCACTTTTCACTCTGTAAATCAGGGTCAACAATACTTTCACTGTAGGGTTATTGGGAGGACGAAGTAAGGTAATGCATGTTAAAATCTCTGGCTCTTAGCAAATGCTTATTAGGTCAGAGTTGTTGGTAAGAATAACAAGACATTTGCTGACTGGTTGAGTAACTGGTCCTTACTCAAACTAGTAAATTGTTCAGTCTAAATAAACCTACTTGGGTTAAGAAAATTGAGGGTTGGGGTGAAGTTCTGGGTGAGTTTGGGATGCAGAAGGGACCCAATTTTGTCTCATGCTCACTGCGCTTCATCAACCCACAATGGCCTGACTTTGCATGCGGGTCTATCAATATTTAACGTGTGGGTGTCAGTTGCGGTAAACTGAGCACGTCCCGGCAGCAACTTGAATTAATTATATGTAGGAGGAGGGAAAATAAAGTGCCTTTTTCTCGGAGCTCCAGGTTGCACTGGCTACACTGGAGCCTGGAAACCCCAGAGGGAAATTTCTGCTGATGGAGGACTCTGAGAAGAAGCTGAACCAGAAGAGTGACGGCAAACCCCGGAAAGTACGATTTAAGATCTCCTCCTCCTACAGTGGCCGAGTGTTGAAGCAAGTCTTTGAGGATGGGCAGGAATTAGAATTGCCAAAGGAGGAGTATCCTCACAGTTTTCTCCAAGAGTCCCTTGAACCAATGGATGGTGTTTACGGGTCTGGGGAAGCCCCCAAACCCCGACCATATTCCCCCAAGCTGACTGCTCAAAGGATCAGCGTGTTTAGAGAGGGCAATGCCTACACTCTGGCGGGCAGCCAGCCTTTCTTCAACGATTACAAGGCAAATGACCATAAGGTTGGTATTGTGCGTGGTGTATAATCTTTAAAGACTAAAGTGCGTTTAGAGAAACACCTGAACGTTTCAATTTTGTATTATGCTCACGCTCCGGTACCCGCGAGGGCTGTAGGTGCCCCACATGGAAGTTGCTCTTAGAGTAATATTTCTGGGACAAAAATAACATGCTTTTGACCACTTATTGGAAAGTCCAATAAGCATAGATAGTGCTCAAATTCCATCCAGGGTGAAAAATTGTCACTGGGTTTTTGGTGGGGTTATCTCAGCAAGTAAATTAAATAGCGGTGCAGTGGTTTTTAGGTCACCGGCTGTCGTTTTAGAAAATTACGTAGCAATGGGTTGACTTGTTTCCAAAAGAGCTAAGTGTTTGAAGGTGCTCATTTTACCCCAGGCAATTATTCCCCTTGTAGTTAATCCATATCTTCCCCCCACCCCAATCTCCCACTTGCTGCCTGCTTTAGAAAATGTCTGTCAGTTTATTTGTTTTGCCTTTGCATTGCTCATTAGCGTGAACACCGGGAAGGTGGAGTCCTGGGAAGAGGTGGTGAAAAGCAAATCACTCAGAGGAAATGTTAGATAGGGAAGAAGTTGGAGCCACGAGTTCATTTGAAATAGGTATTTTATTTGTGAATTTCAATTATCTTCTCCAGTACCATGAATAATCAAAAGTCCATACGTGATTTTTTTAAGTTAGAAGAGCCTGGAAAAGTAGTCAATGATTTCCAAAATCTCTGCCAGTGGGAGATGTGTATATATTCTCTGCCAGTGGGACTGTGCATGTGGTTTTTTTTTTTAAGATTAACTACAATTATGTAACATACCAGGTTACTCATGAATAGCGCACCAGGATTTGTACTCATCTTTAAAGTGTGAAATTCTGGTAATTACTCTGTAATCATTTTTATTGGTAGTTTGCTAAGGCGACAAATAACACATTTATAGCAGACAAATGTATTGGCCTTTCTAGCATTGATAAAAGTATAATTATGGGCATGTCCACATTTATCAAAGATAATGTCAGTTTTTTGGTATTAAAGGGGGCTGGAAAGAACAGCCCTTCACTTTACTGGAGTGGCTTATGCATTGCAAAGCACTGTCACATACTGTCTCTATGGGTCTTCACCATGGACTTGAGGAGAAAGGCCAAGTATGACCATTCCCATTTTGCAGATGAGGAACACTGAGTGCCAAGTTGTTAAGGGACTCATCCAATATAACAGGTTCATTGGTGCAGAGTCAGAAAGATCCCAGATCTTCTGATTCTCCATGCTTTTTGCCCTGTGGAATATTCCTTTTTAGAGAATAAAATCACTACTAATGATGTTGATGATAATAGTAATAGTTACCATATACTGAGGGCTTTTTATGTCCTAGGTACTTAGTTTTCTTGTTCTTACAATATCTCTTTTGATCTAAATCTTACTTGTAGATTTAGAATTTACAAAGTTGTAGTTTATACAATATCTTGTACAATGCTACAGTAGGTAATATAGAGCTGCTTGACATTCATCAGTGAATATGTGAAGCTTGACACTCATGTAAAGGTATGATTAGGCATGGATTTATGCAACCAGAAAACCGAGTGTTCATGGCAGCATGGCACAGTTGATTGAAACATTAAACTCTAGAGGCCACTTTCAGGGTTAGATTCCTGCCTGGTCCCATTATCCTTGATTTCTTTGTTGTCTGATCTAATGCCACATCCCAATCCAGCCAGCCTCTAGATATGAGAATGGTCGGGATGGATTCACGTACCTGCACCCACTGAAACAGGCCACCAATGTGGTATTCATGACAAATAAAGAAATGAGAGCTGGGAAGTCATGATTTTTCAATAGCGAATCCAACTGTAAAATAACCCCTAGTAAATATTGGCTATGAGGCAACACAATTGGCTATAAGCACAATTGAAAGTACAGGCTTTGACATTGAACAGGTATCTGTATATCTAGCGTATAGCAGCTTTATTGACAATTGCCTAAAGATGAAAACAACCCAAATGTCCATCAGTAGATGAATGGACAAACACAATGTTGTATATACAGACAATGGAACATTATTCAGTCTTAAAAAGGAAGGAAATTTTGACAAATGCTGCAACATGGATGAAATCTGAAGGCATTATGTTAAGTGAAACAAGTCACAAAAGGGCAATTGTGTAATTTCGCTTATGTGAGTAGTCAGATTTATAGAGACAGAAAGTAGAAGGGTGGTTGCCAGGGGCTGGGGGAGAGTAGAAAGGGGCATTACTGTTTAATGGTACAGAGTTGCAGTTTGGGAATAAGAAAAAGTTCCGGAGATTGATGATGGTGATAGTTATACAATGATGTGGAAGTACTTAATGCCAGTGAACTATACACTTGGAAATGGTTGAAATGGTAAATTTTATGTTATGTATATTTACCACATTAAAAATAATATATATATATTTTATTTTTTAACTTTATTATTGACACTAATATAGATGTCCACATATCCCCCCACCCTGTTGCCCACCTCTATCCATCCCCCACCTTGCCTTCCCTCTGGCCATCACCACCCTATTGTCTGTGTCCATGGGTCACGCATGTATGTTCTTTGGTTCATCCTTTCACCTTCTTCCATCCAGTCCCCTAAGCTCTCTCCCCACTGACAGCTGTCAGTCTGTTCCAAGTGTCCATGCCTCAGTGAGATCATATGGTATTTGTCTTTCTCTGAGTAGTTTATTTCATTAAAAATAATATATATACATATTTTAAAACAAGGGCTCTGATGTCACTTAAATCTGGGCTCTGTCCATTCCACTCAGTTACCCATGTGAGCCTGCACAGCCACTTAACCTTGCTGAGCTTCCATGTCACAGTCTGTCATGTGAGGGTAATAAAGTACCTGCTAACAAAGATTATTGTGGTAATGAAAAAGAGGAACCACGCGAGAGGCACTTAGCAGTGTGCCTGGCACCTTGCACATGCTCAGAAAGTGTCCCCTACCATTGTGAAAACAACCAGGTTCTTATCAAAGAAATATTGAATATTTTAAAATTTTTATGTGATGGATAGAGAAAGTGGTTATAAACAATCAAATATTTTAAGGGATTAGGACTGACTGAAGTTTATAAATTTTCTGAAAATTGGAAGGGAAAGGAAGAAAGTAACATTTACTGAACAGCCACTTTATACCAAATATGTAAATTTACCTTTACAATACTTCTATGAGAAAGAATTTTACAAATTGGAAAAACGAAAATTCATATGGGTTCAGAAACTTGCAAACCTCACAGAACTGTCAAATAACATTGGAATAAAACTTGAGCTCCAGTCTGCCTGCCTCCAAAGCCCACTGAGTTCCTAGTACCCAGTAAGGTGTTCCTGCTTTAAGTCAGAGCAGTGGAAGGGTGTCACGGTGGCTGGAGAGCAATGTTGGCATGTCGTCACTGACATCAGGGCATTTATGAAGCTCAGTCCCATAAGTTACCATTCTGGGCATCATGGAAGGAAACAGAAAATTCCTGGCTCCATCCTGGCCCTCTATATAATGTAAGAGAGGGTGTCCCTCACAGGCAATAGCCTGTAATCAGATAAGGTGAAGTTTAGTTACACCCAGAGAGTTTCCTTAGACACAAGGAAGAACTTGGCTGTCAGGGTGACTGAAACTTAAACACACCTGAAGGGTGATTTGGGACCATCCATCTTTGGAATACATTAAAAATAAATTTACTATACTCTCCTGGGCATCTCAGATACCAAAAGGTAGAAGGCTGAACCAGATGACTGCAGACTTTTTAAAGTTTATTGACAGTTTTGACTTGAAAAAAAAAAAAAGAAACCAGCTATAGAAACAAACCAAAAAAGTGCTCCCTAGTAACTGAACCTCTTCAGCTGTGAGAGTGGAAATGGAACCTTCCCAAAGTGCCACCATCTTTATCTTCTGCTGTTCAGAAACTGATAGTCCAGAGTGTGAAACAGGAACCCAGCGTGCATCAGACTATAGGAAATGGAAGCTGCCACACGATCCCTAGAAGAGAGGGAGGGAAAACAGGGCCATGTAGGAAGCTTGAGGCTTCATAAATAATTGTTGAAGCTCCATGGATGTTTCAAGGAAAGGGACCTGAATATTGCAGTCCCACTCCAGCCAGGTTGAGACTGCTTATGTGTAGGGTCTAATTAGATTGGTTGGCATGGGTCTATAAAACCAGGGCAGAATATTTCATCTGGAAGCATTTGGTTGTGTAGCCCGATTGGGCAAGCTCTAACTACTAAACGACCAGTTTTTAATAATAATAATAGCAGTAACAATGCCTACCCTTTGCATGGTATTTTCAGCTTTTGCAAACCCAGCTTTATATATTCTTCATAGCACCTCCACACCTGGAAGATGGTAGAATGAGTCACAGGGATGAGAGTCAAAATATTTAATTGCTTCATTGCCCCAGAAGCCAGCTGTGTTGGGGCAGAGTCCTAACATCTGAGGCCCTGAGTCTTAATTTTTACATCACTGGTTTTTGGGATGTTGGAGGCTCCCTAAAGAGAGACGGGGGACCAGGAGAGCACCCAGGAATCTCAGGACAGCACCTGTTTACCACCCAGTATAGAGGTATTTCTATGTTTTAATAATTAGTTTGTGGTAGTTAATGCATATGAGATAGATGGCAGCCCATTTACAGGTGAGCAAACTGAGGTTCTGAGAGGCCAAATGGCTCTCCTATGTCTCATCATTGGTGAGCAGGAGAATTGGAATCCCGCATTGTTTTTCTGCGAGCTCTCCTAGCTCTGGGAAGGGATGTGCCTTCTTAGTTGAGTAATCTCCGAATACTGACTCCCAGGCTTCTCTACTGCATTGCAGTGGTGTCCAAATTATTCCTCAGCAAATGATTAAGGAACTTGGAGAAATTCATGCAAGGGTACGTGAGCTACACAATGATGCTACCTAAGTATATCTATGGACATGAAATTTTCATAGATGAATAACAAAAACAAGTTACAAGTTAATAATATATATTAACAAAATATATGATATATATTTATATGTAAATAAATATAATGATCTTATATTGGAGGGAGTGCTTGTGAATAGTTTAGTATGGGTGCTAAGAATATGGACTGAGACAGAGCTGGGTTTGAATTCCAGCTACAGACTCTGAGTAACTTTGTAACCTTGAGAGGCACTTAACCCCACTGAGACCTGGTCTCTCCATCTGTAGAATGTGGGAATCATAGTATCTACCTCATGGGGATGTTCAGGGGAGAAGCAAGGTAATGCTTGTAAAATGCTTAACATAATGCCTGAGACAATAATAGTAGTAGTAATAATAATAATAATAATAAATTGTATCCAGTATAGCTATTATTTATACATAGAAAAAATCTGGACTGATATTTATTTTAAGAAGAGCATTCCTTTCCATTTATTAAGCACTCATTGTGCCTGGCCCTGCATCAGATGCTGTGGGTTGTGGTTGAAACATGCACTTGGACTCTGTCCTGCAGAGTCTCGCACTTTAGTTGTGTGACCAGTTCAGCTTACCATCAGCAGGAGGAGGAAGAAGGCTGTCATGGTTTTCAGAGGAAGCAAACAAACGGGGAATGAATGGTAGCATTGTGGCGAGATGGCATCACGAGGGCTGGAGAGCAGGAGTTCCTCCTTTCTCTTTTTCTGGGATGGAGAATAGGTTCTGCAGGCCTGTATTTATTTGGTGATTGTTGGTGGAGATTCCATGCTCATTCTCCATTTTTCTAGTCCCCACCTATTATAGATTTTGGAAAGATAATCATCTACACGAATAACCTGAAAATCATTCGAACCCCCATGGACAAGAGAGACTTCATGAGGAAAATTCTCCAGAAGGAAGGAGAGGTTGAGGAAGAGTCTCTGATGAGCAAAGAAGAAATCTATGGAAACAGCAACCATAACGATGGGCCTCTGGCAGAGACAGGAAGCGCATTCCCCCTCAACCAGTGCCCACAGGTGCGTCTGAGTGGTGCACTGTCCCACCTGGAGCGGCCCTGCTGCAGTGGTCTCCAAGTTGTCTTGGTTGTGTACTACTTACATAAGAACCTTCAAATATGATTACTTACCATGTCTAAATATTCAAGATGTTATGCTTTTATTATATTTTAATGGTACACTGTTAGCAATCATAGTCGTAAGTCCATATTTCAAACACAACTAATTTTAATTTTTAAATGACTTCTTTGAGATCTAATTAGGTATCTACTGTTTTCACTTTGCAGTGTGGCTTAGAAATGAAAACATCTTGCTCTAGAGATGAAAAAAATAGCTCTGTCCTTTTCTTAAGGGTTTGCTGGTGCTTCTAGTATTGGTGTTATCCTCAATCCACAGTTTCCTTGAAGAAATCCAATAAAGTTGTGAGTCTTTAGCTTTTGTAGAGATAAGTTTAGTTAAACTAAACAGTATCATTTGTAAATCCACAAGACCAGGCACAAGCAAACTGCAAAATGCTGCAGTATGCTGAAAGTGAATGAATGAGCCAGGACACCATTGTCACTTTGCATGAAGTGGGGTCACTTTACATAATGCTTTTTTTAAAAAAAAGATTTTATTTATTTATTTTTTTCAGAGAGAGGGGAAGGGAGGAAGAAAGAGAGTAGAGAAACATTGGTTGCCTTTCATGTGCCCCCACCTGGGGGCCTGGCGTGAGCACCCCAGGCATGAGCCCTGAATGGAATTGAACCAACCACCTTTTTGTTTGCAGGCTGGCACTCAATCCACTGAGCTACACCAGCCAAGGTACATCATGCTTATTCCAAGGTCCCTTGGATACATTTTTCTAATGATTGCCAGTCTTAGTGAAGGTGCCAGTGTCAACTAGTTTATTAAAAATTCGTATAGCAATTTCTTTTGAAAGTATTATTAAAGTTTAATTTCTTGCTTTCTTTAGATAAAAATATAAATAGTTCCAATGTTTTTCTCTGCACACACTCTCCCCCTTGGAAACCATTGCTCGGACACGCTCAGATGAGGGGAAGACTGATAATATTTGTTAGTTCACAGTGTGGGGTTGGGGGTGGGAAAAGCGATTGTGATTAAATTAAACTAAGAGAGTAAAAGCTTGGATAGCAGCAGAAGTGATTTTTTTTCTCTTTAGATTCCATCTTTTGGGACTTGAAGCTTTCTGTGGGGCACACTGTCACCTCCCATTTTTTTCATGTGACAACATGGGCCAAGAGCTTTCCTGCACTAGAGTGATGTCCCCACCCTGGGAGTGTTCAGGGGACAGGGACAAGAGGGTCATGACCAGACTCCCACTAAAGGCTCTTGTTAAAAGTTCTGCTCACAGCCACTCTTGTCTCCTCACCGGATCTCACCCTTGATAAGATATTTTTGAAATGCAAATCTGTGTCATCCCTTCATCTTCTTTATTCCCACAAAAGTCTTTCACTGGCCTCTCTCCACTTGGGCTAAAACCAAAACACACTTATTCTCCAAAACACTGCATAGCCTGGCTTCTCTTGACCTGTTCAGTCTCATCTCTTACACATCTCTCCTCAGTCTCTCAGCCCCAGGAGCACTGCCTGTCTAGCTGCCCCTCATGTGTTCTTGGCTTTTTCTCACCAGAGGCAACTTCCTTGTGCCTGGAATGTTCTGCAGATTTGGTGCTGCCTGTCCTTCAGCCCCTGAGGTCTCCATTGAGGTGTCACTTCCTCAGAGGGGCCTCCCTTAACTTCCACAAGGATAAAATTCCCAAGGAGGGACCCCTCAGGGTATCCCACGGCACTCCTCACAGTCGCAGTCTTATATTTATTCATGCAGTTATTTGGTTAAAGTTTGTTCTCAACATGTAGGATTTAGTTCTCTGTGAGGGCAGGGGCCATGTTTATGTTGGGCATAAGACAGTAGTTTCATTGCCTCCCAAACCAGATCCTGGCATGTGATAGGTGCTCAGTAAATATTAAATGTTTGTGGAAAGAATGTTGGAGTTTGGGACCCAAGTGCTAGCTGGTCAGAAGGGTTCCGTCCCTGCCTGCCCTAGACAGCACTGTTCGGAATGCAGTGCAGCAGTCAGCAGACAACACTGTCACACAAGCACTCCCTCCCCACATTAACATTCACTCACTCGGTCCCTTTTCTTACCACGTTATAACTCACCACGTTATAACTGGTAGGAATATTGATTTTCAGAAGAGAGCCAGAAATGCTAAAGTACAGATCGCATAGCAGTCCTGAATGGAAAAGCAACAACTGGCCTGATAGGACAATCCACCTTTAAATTCTACTTGGAGAGAGCCCTGTTTTTCAGCTGCAGTGTCATAAACCAGGGCAGGGACGTGCAGCAGAAAATTGCTGTGAAAGGTGATACTTCACTTGCCTGTCCTTTAGACTCTGTGTTAAATTGCTATTTGTTCACCCACTCCCTCATGCAGTAAATGTCCAGGCAAGCTTATTCTGGAAAAGAGGTTCAAAGAACACCAAGGAGCCCCTTCTGACCAGGAGGCTCCCTGCTGTGTTATGTGGGACAGGGCAGCGGCAGGGACCTTGATAAAAAGGTGGGGCGAGGCTGAAAGCCAGGCCATACTTAGCCTCTGTAACAACTATGGAAGAAAAGGAGAGGGAGAACAGAATTGAGCCACCATGAAACATGGAAGGGGCAAGACCTGCCCCTGTGTTCAGTGGATTTGAGACCATCTATCATCCTTTACGCTTTATGTGCTCTTGCCTTTGAAATAATAGCAATAAAAAAATAAACACCAGTAGTGAAAGCTACCATCTATTGAGGGCCCACAGTAGCCGGGCATCATGCCTGATGCTTTCCATGCCATAGTTCATTTCATGCTCGCAAAGACTCTGTGAGGTGGAAATTACCAGTGGTCTCCCTCTGTGGCTGGGGAAATTAAGGTCAGGGAAGTTAAGTAACTTGCCAGAGGTTGTCAGAGGCAGTAGTCAGACTCAGGTCCACCTGACTACCCATCTCATGGTGGTGACCACTTTGCTAAGCTGTCTCCATATTGGTGCTGGTTACCATCTTCAGGGCTACTCAAGCTTTTGGGTCTGCAATAAAGCTGAGGCTCCCCTACTGGCGTGGAGCCAGTAGGAGGTGGTTTGTGGAGGTCTGTTGGCTCTAGAACTTAAGCTATGCTGTACAGCTATGTTCTAAGTCTTGTTACTGGATAGTTTCTGAGAAGAATTTAAAACATAATGAGAATGGAAGACTGATGCTTATATCCTGCATGCCTTGTGTAGAGTAGCGGCTCGGCTCAGTGCATACTTGATTTAATGAATCATTAAATAATTAAATAAGCATGTTGAGGGTGAGTGGTTGGAAAAGGTGGTAACCTAAGGTAAGAATAGAAACTCCAGTGAAATCTCCAACAACACATCAGGTAAAATTTGATTAATGATTTGGTTTTGTTCTCTATAGCAGGCTTACTGGGTCATTTTATTAATCTTTCAATATCTGACCTAACATTTTATACAAACTAATTTTCAGATCACATGTGGAGCATTATGTTGTGATTTTTCTGTACTTCTTTGACAACATTAGCTTGTAGCATTAAAATCTCACTGGGATCAAGTATAAAGGGTAGATTTGGCAGATAAATGGTCTGTGGCAATTTGCTTTAAGAACATTTTGGCAAATGTATTTCTCTTGAATACTTTAAGAAAAGAAAACAAATTCCTCCACTGTTAATATATGAAAGTATGGCAACAATCAATAAAATATTAACAAAAGGGTGCAGAGACAGGATTTAGGTTTTTGTCGGTTGGATAATCACTTCCCTTCTCTAAATCTAGAATGAATAAAATTTAACACCATTTTAAGCACTGTACAGCACAATGGAGCTATTTTCAGAACTAATGCCTCCCTTTTCAGAGATTACTTTTATTATGAGGTTATAAAAGAAAGCGGTGTTAGCTGGGTTGAGCCACCGAGTACATTCTAGCTGTGTTGGTATTTCCTAGAATTTAAGAATAGAGAGTGTTCTCTAGAGATCATTTCTTTCTTTGTTTATTCTTTTGGCAAATATGTGAAATATTTTCCTGGCACCGCACTGGATATCCAGGGAGTGATGTGAGATGGGCCAGCTCCAAGAGCTTCCTTGTCTAGTCAACAGGAGCTTTTGGTAGTGCCAGAGACTGCCCTGCAGGGGGCAGTGCAGGCGGGTGTGACTCCTGGGCCAGGCTTGTGGGTGGGCAAGGCTCCCGAACATTTGAGAACTGTAGGACTTGGCTGGGTGGTGGGGAGGGAAAGGTCCCTGGAGCCCAGTTAGAGGGAGAGCTAAGAGCCTGGGGAAAGATGTGACAAAACATTTAAAGCAACTGAGGGGACCAGGTTTTGATCTGAAGTTTATCTGGACGGCACATGTTCATTAAAAGATTTCTTGAATGGCAATCACATCTGTAGGCCACTTAATGAGATGGGTGTCAGTGGGGAGAACCGCCCACAGAACCAGAGGCAGGCATCCACACTGAGTTCCTGCCAGAGTCAGTAGGTGTCCAGACCAGGACTGTGGCTGTGGGGTGAGGAAAAGGGATGGATTTGAAGATGAAATGGACAAGACCTTGTGCTTGATCCACTTAGTATAGAGTTGGCAGTGCTCCTTATTTCTTGGAAGGTTATAGGTCTCTGCATGGTCTCTACACAGCAGTGCAAAGATGGCCAATTTTCGGGAGATGACTTAGAGGAGAGCGTGACAGGAGATGGGGCATTTTTCAGAAAGTGAGAGTAGAGGACTGGACATGTATTAGCAAGGCTTCCAAGTGAACTAACTCGTATGTGGAACCCCTAATATGCCAGATAATATGATGTTTTCATATACTCTCCCATCTATTATTGCAGCTACTCAGAGGTAAGCTTCATTACTCTCATTTCACAGGTAAAGAAATGGAGATTTAGAGGGGTGAAGGAAACTGCCCAAGGTGCAGAATTGATGTCAGAGGCAGGCCTCCATCATTTTGGGGCCTCATCACAGTTCTCAAAGAGAACAAAGATAAAGTATTGCAAGAATTCAGGGCTAAGCTCCCACAGTTTGTAGCATTGACTCATTCATCCACTTGGTCTCTCAGTCACACAAAACAATCTTTCCTGAGCACCTACTTTGGACAACTACAACGAGGGCTGTGTGTGAAATCACAGGAGCATAAACTGTGGTGCTCGCCTGCCTCAGAGCAAAACCTGCCTCTTTTTCTGCCACGCTGTGTGACAACTGGCAAGTAATGGAACTTCTCAGGGTCTCATTTTCTCATCTGTAGCATAGGGATGATAATCCTTCTATTACCTCATGGGATGTTGTGGGCAGTAGATGGGTTGATATATGAAAGAAAGCTCTTAGAACAGTGCCTGGCACCTACTAGGCAGGCTATAAATGTTCACTCTTGGTATTTGGCAATGAGAAAAGCTAAGTCTTTGCCCTCATGGCAACAAGAGCAATGAAAAATGTCAAGTTGCAAATGCAAGGCATGGTAGCAGGGGATGGTCTCTTAGAGATGTCCACCAGGGAAACCCACTTTGATAAAATTGTTGTGATTGTTCTAAGCCTCTGGCCAGTTCCCTCCTTGGCATCTGTGGGAAACATTTTCCTCTTCTTTTGCCATAGCCTTTGCAGTAGCCCAGTGCTCTTTTGACCTGCATGCAATCAATGAACTTGACCTGCTGTTGTAACTAAACCCTGACCCATCTCTTGCAGGAAGGGGAGCTTCCAGATGACAACTGTTTTCACTGCCGAGGGTCAGGCAGTGCCACCTGCTCTCTGTGCCATGGCAGCAAGTTTTCGATGCTGGCCAACAGGTTTAAGGAGTCCTACCGGGCCCTGCGCTGCCCTGCCTGCAATGAGAATGGCCTGCAGCCTTGCCAGATTTGCAATCAATAGCCTGGGGCTTTGTATGCCTGCTTTTATCACATCCTCTCTAGAGTTATTTCTAATAAACTGCCCCCCACCCTTCTTCTCCCAGCAAGGAAGCCACAGCAGCTGTGATCTCTTCCACTCCTGGCAAAAAGAAAAAACCAACAACACTTGACTACTCAATGACATCTCAGAGGCTGGTAACATCTCCATGTGGGTCTAAGGGGCAGAGGCGCTTTTGAATTATTGGAGTCAGCTTTGAAACTGGTTCTAAAATTACCCTCCCAGGAACACGTGTTTGCATCTCCCTTGACTTAGCTCAGTGTTCTCCTTGTGCTAGCGAACAGATAAACGTCAGCTTCAGGCAGCAGGCTGAAGTCGTTTTATGGTTGGGAATTATTTTGCAAACTTAGACGGTGAGACAGGGATAAAAAAAAACAAACCAGATTTCTGATGAACCAAATTCTTGTTGCTTATAATGCATTTCAAATTGTCATTGATCAAATTGAATTTTTAATTAAGCAGAAGAAGGAAGGGATGCTCAACGCCCGACTGCACTGGCAGGCTGCGAAAACAGAACAGCAGCTAAGTGCTGCTCTGTGCGGAAGACAGGCCTGCTGAGGAGGCCTTACCTGCGAAGTCTCCAGTCCCTCCTGTGTGATGTGCTTGGATAATATTCATGCGGATGACAGCAAGTCTCCTTCCTAGGACAAGATAAGACATTTCTTCATGCCTCTAAACTATCGAGGATATAAGCCAAGTCAAAGCTTTTTATGATAAATTTGGTGCTTAAGTACTTGTGCATGATACTACTTCTTCCAGTCCTGAATTATTACCAAATAAATAAATCAACTTTGAGGGTAAGATAGAGCCACAGTCTCCTCATAAAAGACTGGATATTTTCTAGGTACCCACTGGAACCCTCTAAAAGAAAACTCAACCAAGGCTGATTTCTAGCAATTATCTTTCTACTGTCTATAACTACCCATACTAAGGACAATGCTGTCCTCTCAAAGTTGATTATAAAATTAGAAAACTGCTTTTGTTCATGAACTTTGTAACTCTAACACCCACTCGCCCTGAGAATAAAACTGTAAAATCTGTTATCTATTGAGATACATTGCTTTTCTGTGATAATTACTTGGATTTTCATAACTCAATTTTATCAAGATTTGTTTGTTATAGGATAATATCCAGCTCTTAAAATAACTCACAGTAGAATGTTTTTCAGGGAATATAAATACTTCTAATAAAAAGATTAAAATATTCTCCGAAGCCATGATAATGTTGCCTCTCCTTGCTTGGCTTGCCAGACAATACAACTGCTACTGGCTCTCTTTGCTTCTGTATTTAACTGTTTGCTGACTCTGTTTATGTTTCCTCACAGCTGTTGACTCTTAACTCTTTCCAGAATATCAGAGGCAGGAAGAATATTGAGAGACCTTTAAGTGTATTTTTCTGCTTTTTGGTGGGAACATTGGACAACAGGTACTTCTGGACCCCTGCCACAAGATGCACAGGACAGCCCTGCCCGGTGTCTGATGTACTGCAAGACCCAGACGGGAGCCGCCCCTGCTCTCTCACGGGACTTCCAGTTTTGGTGGAGAAGACAGAAGTGCAAATACATAATTATGATACAGTGGGACAAGGTCTGGGATGGGGGAATTACAGGGAGTGTTACAAGCACATAGAAGGGACACCTAACATTGCCTGAGTCGGGGTAGAAGAGGAAAAGATGTAGCAATGTTTCTTTTCCTTCCCCTGTGCCCCTAAGAGCCTTTAATATGTTTCATCCCATAATAAATATATTTACAAGTGATGACATTTATTTATTCAGTCAATGAGTATTTATGGAACACTGGGGCTATATCAGTAGCAAAAAGCTTTCCCCCAACAGAGCTTACATTTTGATGGGGAGAAATATTGAACATGCAAGGCCTGTCCAGAGGGTAATATAAAAAATAGAGACATTTATTGAAGAATATTGAAGATACAAAAAAATGTACATACTGAGAAGGAAAACTAAAAATATGCAGTACAGATAAAATATATGTAAATATGATAAAACTACATGCGAAGTGTATAATATGTTAGAAAAGGATAAATGCTGTGATGAAAAATAAAGCAATAAAGGGGTTGGGAGTTGGAAGCGGTTGAGATTTTAAATCAGTGTTTCAAGGAGGCATCATTGAGGAGGTGTCCTTTCAATACAGGCCCAAAGGAGATGAGGGAGAGAGTTGTGAAAGTGTCTGGGGTGAGATTGTCCCAGGCAGAGGACACAGTGGATGCTGGACCCTTAGCGGGGAGGGCCCATCATGTTTGAAGAGAGGAAAGAAGCCAGTGTGGCTTGGAATGAGGTCAGAAAGAAGGTGCTTACATGTTTGGGGGAGGGGTGCCTTCCTTGGAAGTCATTGTAAGAAGTTGGGTTTTTCTGTGAGTAAGATGCTTCTCCATGGGGTCTGTTTTCTGTCAACCCCACACCCTCCCCTTCTATACCCTCCTCCTACTGCTGGGGCAGGAGACTCAAAAATAAACTACATTTCCCAGACTCCCTTGCATTCTATCTTCCTCTTGTGTTCTGCCTCCCACCAGGGACATACTGGCTGGCGGGGCAGATGGGGGAGGAAAGGTCTTTATTTTTTAAGGATGAGGATTCTGGCAACCTTTCCCATGTGACAGCTGCATTAGCTGCAGTAGCAGCTGGAAATGCTGGCACAGGCAGGTCAGTTCCAACAGTAGTGGCTTGGACTGTAGGTTTTCCTGTTTTCCTTCTGGCTCCTCCTGCCTAAGGGTAGTAGCGGCTTCATGCTCTCACTAACCTTTGTGATTAACTCTCTATAATACACATTCCCTCTCTTTGAAATATCTAGAGTGATTTCTGGTTTCCCAATTGGATGCCAATTGAAAAAAATGCTTTGAGCAGAGGAGGGTCACGATCTGATTTATGTTCTAACAAGCCCTCCTGGCTGCTGTGATAAGAGAGGACACTATGGGACAAAAGTGGAAGGAGAGCCCCATTCAGAGCCCACTGCAAAAATCCTTGTGACAGCTGCGAGTGTGGTACTAGGAGAAGTGGTAAAATTGGTTGGATTGTGGGTATATTTTAAGGGTAGAGCCACGGGGTCTTCAGAATGCCCTTTGTACCCAGAAATATTGCAAACATATCTGATTTCTTTACCTACTAGTGGAGATAAGTTTGCACTAAAATATTCACTTCCTGATTGTGATCTTAAGAACATTGTCAGAGATTTAGGATAGTATCAGGGGTAGGTTTAGGGCAAGGTTGGCCAACTGGTACTCCTAATGTTACCGAACAGATACACACACAGGGAGGGCAATATTTGGCCCACCCAGTGACGCCAAAAACTGTTACTGAACAGAGAGGGGAGGCATACTGAGGATGGTATATTAATACTGAAAGGACCCCCCAGGTTTGTTATGTCTACCGCCCTATAGGAAAGACATCTCTCAATGCCAGAGATTTGTGAAAGGGAAAGAAAATATTTATTTAAGGGTATACAGACTTAAAGTAGTGACCTAATGTCCTCACCAAAATATCAAAGTCCTTTAGGATACCCATAGACACCCACAGTGCTTCCTTCCCCCCTTGCCCCTAATTTGGGGTACCATAACTCAGGAAAAGAAGCACATGTCCGTGTTTCAGGGTGCTGGAGAAACCAAGTTGTGTTGCCGTCCAGGCAGGATCTCTAATTACTCCAAAGCCATGTGGCACCTTCTCATGGCCTACTGGCAAAGAGTTCTTTCACCCCTTTTCCAGGCAAAGTCTCACCTGCTTCCCAGGCCACGTGGCCAAAGGGAACACCCCAAAGCCCCGTGGGCCTCTTCTACCAAAGCTGTAGGGGTCTGCACTCTGGCCAAAACCATGTGGTTCTTTCCTCCACCAGAGCTGCGGGGGTCCTCACTCTCGCAAAGCTGAGTGGCACTGCCCAATGGCTGCCAAGTCTCAATTTAAGTCCCTGTGCCAATATTCTTCTGTAGCCCATTTCCGACTCCACCCACAATTGGCTACACTTGCCAGGACTTCCATATCCTTCCAGGTTTACTGGGCTGCCATAGTGAGTCTGGGCAGGTGTGGCCCCCTGTCATGGAGCCAATCATCTCCAAGCTCTCACACAGGCGCTGTAACTCAGGGGAGGTGGGGGGAACAACCTGCCCCCAGTTACATCTTGGGTGGAAGTCACTTCTATCCTCCTGGCTCAGAGCAGGGCCACAGCTATTTAACATATCTATGAAACCAATTAAAGGTTATAGATACGTTAAATGACCATGCCAGAGGTTAGCTGCAAAGCTGTTGCTGTACAAAACAGCCCTCAATGGCCCTGCTCCACTGGGGCCCTGCTCATGGGGGAGATGTGTTGGGGACTTGAGAGTATATTACAGTAATGAGACCATGACTTTGGCTGACTCTGTGGGCCACTTAAACCATGCTGCTGGTTCCTCCTTTCTTTTCTCCCTTTGCATCCTAGTCTGCCCTCTACTCTTCCTGCTCTGGCAGGCAGCATAATTTATCTTTCTGGTCCCAGTTCCCACACAGGGTTTAGCCCTAAGGCCTATCTTCTTCTTTACACAGGGAGGATCTGCAAGGTCAGGTTTCCTTTCACAGCCCACCCTTCTTGGAAGACAGTGGCAGTATCTTTCTGTCCCTGACTGTCCAGGAGATTCTATGGGTTGAGGAGGGCAGAGCTCCTAGAACAACTCTGCTTTATTCTGCTTCCAGGTTAAGATCCCTTTTGAAGAAGTTGAACATTGAATTTTTGAAATCCACACAAAGCGTTCACTTAGTTTAGCCATAATTTCCCTTTGCAAATTAAACCGGCCAAAGATATCAGTGAAGCTTAAGTTTGTAGGAGAGATAGTGTTCTTATTCTAAGTCTTCCACAGATATGAATTGCTGTGATAATAAATTCACTTAGATTGGTACCAGTGACAATTATTAAAAAATTTCTGTGGTTCACTAGAGCTTACTCAGAGTGAATTTTATGATAAAGGTAAATTTGAAAGAAATGTTCACTGTTGTTCTTTTTTAAAAAATATTTATTTATCTATTTGTTTGTTTGTTTATTTATTTATCTTTAGAAGGGAAGGGAAAGAGAGAGGGAGAGAAATATCAATGTGTGGTTGCTTCTCGTGTATCCCCTGTTGGGAACTGGCCCCTGCTGGGAACTGGCCTGCAACCCAGGTATGTGCCCTGATGGGGAATTGAACCATGATCTTTTGGTTCACAGGCCCGTGCTCAATCCACTGAGCTACACCAGCCAGGGCAGAAATGTTCACTGTTGTTCTTATCACCTGTCCTTGTTTGTTGCATCTCCTCATTTTCTAATTAAACACAGTAATTTTAGAGAGTTCACATTCATGCAATTATGTGGGAGAGAAATGGAGTTACATTAGTGTCAGAGTTACAGCATATAATTACTGCTTGTGTTAAAGAACATGTAAAACCCAGAGAAGACCTGGAACCACAATGCAGTAGAATTTCTTCATTGCTTGGGGGGCAGGGGCATGGGGAAGGAGGCAGAAATGGGGCGGTTAAATCGGGCCTTGATAAAACTGAAGTCAATGTTTATCTCTTTCAACACAATGAGCTTCCTCTTTGTACAGTTCCCTTAGTTCACTTTTATCTAGCTCCCAAGTATTTCTTCCCCTATTAATGATTATTTCTCAGAAGATTGAGGCCATAAATTCATACTAAGATGTGAATGGTTACTAGATTATTGACCATGTCTGTTTTTTAAGTTCAGAATGTTATATTTTTGAAGGCCTCCTAGGAATCAGGCCATGCATAAGAAGTAAGGAGCCAGAAGATGAAACAGAGTACCATCCCTTAAGGACATCATAGTCTCACAGGAACCAAGGATTTAAATGGATATTTGCAAAATGAAATGATAGGTGCCATAGGAAGGGGAGAGTGTAGGGAGTGGCTAAACTTCCTTTCATTGTTGGTCTCCTTCATTCAGCTCTAAGCTCCCTAAGGGCAGGAAGTGTGCCTCAGTTACCACTGTATCCCCAACACTCACCACAGTGCCTGGCGCATAGGTATTCAGTATTTGGTGATTTGGTGTTTGCAGAGATATGACATTTGGTTGCACACCCAGAGACCTCAGTGCATTGTTGTCTTATGGGCTAAGGTCTTGGGAAAGTTTGCAGGCAGACAGCTTCTCAAAAGGCTTCCGGTGATCCCCACCTCCTGGTGTTCTGCTCTTGTACCATCCCCTTGAGCGTGAACTGGACTTAGGGACTCGCTTCTAACAGCAGGCTGTGGAAGACACAATGAGAGGTCACCTCCAAGATTAGGTTATAAAAGACTTTGAGGCTTTCTCTGGCATTTCTTGCTTGCTCTCCTGATGCCAACTGCCAGGCTGTGAGCCACCTTATGGGGAAGACTCTATGGTGCAGAACAGGGGGTGGCTTATGGCCAGCAGCCAGGGAGGAGCTGAGGCCCATGGGTCAGCAACCTGCAAGCACCTGAATCCCACCAATCACCATGTCAATGAGCTTACAAGGGAGAGCTCCTTTCCTAGTGGAGCTGGAGACTCAGCCGTGGCTGACACCTTAATTGCAGCCTCATAAGAGACCTGGAGCCAGATCCATCACTTGTAGGCTGATAAACTGTGAGATAATAAATGTTGTTTTAAGCCAGGAATTTTGGGAGCCATTTGATACCTAGGGATAGATAACGAACACAAGGTAAGACTACCTTCTCTCTAGGTCCTTATTAATAGATACTTTTATGTCCAAAGGGTTTTTCTACAGAGAAATACTCACAATCATTAGTGTTTTGTTTAATGCTCACAATATTAAGC